CGGGCTTTTGGAGAAAGCTCTCCGCGGGGGTGCCCCGGATGGGGGTCGGGTTGGGGCGCTCCGAAGATGCTCCGAGGTCCTCTTCGGAGCCCTTCAGCCGCTTAGGGGCTTCCTGCTGCGAGGAGCCTCGGCGCTGGCGCTGTCCCTGTCCCCTGTGGGAAGGGAACGGTGCGGGACCAACGTTTTGTTCTTAGTGCCGAGTTTGCTAACAGCGTGAAAATCTGTTCTCCTTGGGAGGAATGGCTTAAAGCGCCCCCCCCCCTGCGGTTTCGTCTTTCAACACAAAGCCCACAACAGACTCACATCTGAACGTGGCTCCCAATAACACGAACCGAGAATTCACTGAACTTATCTAAACCTGCCTTGACATGCGGATGTTTTGAGATCCAGCTCCCATTATCCCCAGCAAGCATGACCTGTGACTGGAGGTGATGGGAGTTGTAGTCTAGTGCATCTGGAGGCTGAGACATTGGAGGAGATTACTGCATACAGAGATGGGCTGAGATGGGCCAGCCTTTCCTAGCGATACCCTTGTTCCCAATATTATGGTTGTCAGTCCATTGTGGCCATTCCAACTCTGCCCGTAACTAGGTTGGATCAGGACTCATGTGGCTGTTCTGATCCAACCTGCCATTCTGGGGATGAACTGAGTAAATAAATCATATTGCCATGGTTTTGCATATGAACTCAGAAGGCCGAATCACATCTAGCTTAAGACTGTCCTCACTTGATGGTCAGCAAAAGTTCTTCCAGCCTTACTTGCAGATTTGACCTGAGCCCACCTACAGAGAAAGCATGATTTTAATTCAGAAGAGCCTTGCTGTAAAAGAGGTTCATCTTTAAATTATTGGAAGTGTGGCTTTCAGCCACTTCTAGGGCAATTATTGAAAACAGTCTTTTGTACGGAGAGAAGAAAAAATGGGATATATGACAAAATAGAAAAAAGACTAGATGGGTCTAGTGTTGCCAGTCTCCCAAAAGTTGAGAATTACCATTTTGGCAAAATTCCCCTAAAATGCCTGGAGGGGTGGGTGCCTTGATTTTGCATCTGGAGCCCTTTATAGTGAGCAGGCCAAGGGCTGATTCAGTTCGTATTATCTTGGCACAGGTCAGGCGCTTCCTGGACCCGCCGAGGCCTGCTTCTAGCTTGTTCCCAGACTTCCCTCTAGGATAAATTGAGATAAGCAAAATGAAATCTACCCGGAAGGTGGCATAGACTTTTCCCCGCCTACTTGGGTGCTTGCAATGGGCTCAAAGGTGTCCATGGGGCAGAGTTCGACCCTTGGAGGCGGGACCGAGATTTCCTCCCTGCTATAAAATCTCCCCGCCGGGTAGGAAGCTGCACAGGCAGGAAGCAGCAGTTGTGCAAACCATGCCTGGTCCACGGAGCAGTAGTCCTTGTGCCAGAAAGGTGTGTGATCCGGGGTCTCGTGGCAAGATCAAGCCACCCAGCAGTGGGGGGTAGGAATTTGCAGTAGCTCCATGCTCCAAATGGGGATTTTGACCCTTCCCCAGTTTGCATAGGATCTTTCCCTAACCTGCTTTTTCTTTCTGAAGTCTAGCATTTAATGAACAGGTCTAAGCAGATGATGGGGTCGGGTGAAATTAAGTTAGTAATCAACTAAATGTTAATATATCTCAGGTAGGAGAGAATATTGCTCCATCTAACTGATAACACCTAAGATATGTGAGGTGGTGGTGGCAGAAATGCTCTGCCGTCCAGTCGTGATCACACCTTCCTGTGGAAGGAAACTGCCGTTGTTTTGCGGATGCTGCCTAACAAGTCCTCCAACTTCCTGTAGGGTCTCATTCTTGGGGCTTTTGCCAGCGATCGGGAAGATGAAGCTTCTCAGCTGTCTGATGCGGGAGAGGCTTTTGACAGACGGGTCAGTGGAAAGCTGAAGGAGTTGCTGGCCATGTGAGTAGCTGGATGCATTTCCTCTTTTCAATGGTTTAATTACAGGAAACTAGTAATTAGTTTTCGAAGTTAAGCTCTGCAATTAGCTGGAGAGGTTGTGCAAAGATAGTTCCTCCTTTCCTCACATTCCTCTTTTACTTTTTGCCATGCAAATGATGAACTGATTCCATCTCTCCCTCTGCTGATTGCAGCAGGCAAGACACCTCCCTTTCTTGGGCTTTGCAAAAAGATGGCTTTATGTCAGGGGTTCTCAACTCTGGGCAAGGAGCAGAGGGCTAACAGTTAGTCATAGCGAATAGGGCTATGCAACACTTCAGATTTGATTCCAAAAGCTGCAACCAGCTGTCTGGAGGGACCTGAATATAGCATTTATGTAACTGTCTAAAGCAGCTTTTTTTTCAGGACGATGCACCTGCTCTTTGTAGCAGCCATACAGTTCCAGGAAAAGATGTGGCTGCTTTAAAGCACTGCTGACTGTTTTATATTAATGCCCCTCTGAAGCACCTTTTGGAAGAGAATCTAAAGTATTGCATAGCTTTAATGGTTCACTGACTTGAACCTGGTGATTACTAAACAATGATGCTCATGTCTTGTTCATGTTGGATGTTGTTTTTTTATAAAGCAAAAAATAAAAGTGGTGTCTCTGTGAATGAGGATTTCGAAACTAGACCTAGATGGTGACAAAGGTTTTATTGATGCAAACACATTATTGGTGGAGACAATGGTAGGACTGATTGGATCAGACCTCTTGTGGGCCTGGGAGGGCCACTTTATCTAAAAGCATTGACTTATCTTCTGCTGTTCTAGAGAGGGACTCAGAGTCCCTATCAGCATAAAACAAGAATCTTGCCATTCATACATTGATTTGTTTAGTATATTTACATTCCACCATAATCAAAAACCAAATACATGGATAGAAGGAATGCTTAGGCGTAAAACCAGGCAGGACCCTATCCTAGGAAAGCTTCATAGGCTAATTCTAGTTGCTGAGGGTGATACTGGGCAACATCTGTTTTCTTGTGAACTGTTGAACATCTGTGTGTCCTATTCTAGTTCTGGGCCACCTCTGAAGAAGGGGAAGACGCGCATCTTTCATGGTTTGCATCAGGTAGGGGATAAATATTTACCTAATTTAACCTTGTGCCTCTTACTTTTTAAAATCAGTTTCTTTTGCTGGAAGAAGATTATGGTGGAGCTTTGAGGATTTCCTGCTGAATTCTGAGGAAGAGAATTGACCAGTTAAAATGCCACACAAATGGGACAGTGATCTGATAGTTTCCATAGCTCTTTTTTCTTTCATCCCCAATAAAAACAGGTCTTCAGAACTGTCTTTCTTGCTGGCAGGGTTTGGAGAACAGCAGCGACCCTCTCTGGAATGAAAATATGCACGTCCCATAATTTTTCCACTGTGGAGCTTGGCTTCCTCTCTCAGCTCGCTCTGACCTCAAAAGAAGTCAGCCGAACCAGGGTTGAAGTGAAGGCAGAGGACCAAGTGATACTGTACTTAATCTGAGAAGGCCATTTAGAGATAGGAGAAAGATGGAAAGTTTGTGGATTTTTATTTAAAACATTTGCATAGCTGCCCGTCTTAAAACCAACTCTGATTGGCTTACAACCAAGTTTCTTAGCACATGAGGAACCTGACCTTTATAATGGAATTTCACTGAACCGAGCCACCGTTGGGGTGGTTGTTCACCTGGCAGCGCTCCAGAATGCATAGAATGCAGTCCTGGGTTCCAGGGCTTCTGAAGTTGACTTCCAGCCCTTCAAATCCTGGCTGTGAAACTAGTTCTCTTAAATGACGCTTGAGATCTTAGCTGGGGGACTCCTGCAAGCAGTTTCTGAGCCATGGGGCAAGCCCAGGGAAGCAGTGGTGTGCGTCAATATTCCAAAAAGGGACACGTTGCTAAGGTCAAACCTTTGAATAAAACTAAAAATAACATTTGAAAATGGCACTGCAGTTTTGCTTGTGGGGGACCAAAAGATAAAGAGTGGAGCTGAAGGTAGATGTAATTCTGTGCCTGTCGTGTTAACCAAATGTCAGTTGATGTCGCTGGCTTCTTCTAATCTCCTCCTCTGTTTGCTGTGTGCTGCTCTTACGCTTATGCTTACTCATGCTACTGCTTTTTTGTTATTTTATGTATATCCCCTTATCCTTGTTCAGAGCAATAGTTCATCCCAACATCTGATGTTGCAGTTGTGCGTTTGAAAGATCTGATAATATCATTTGCTGGATTAAAAGTTTAAAAAACAAAGTAGCTTCCCTTGCATCATCCCATTGCTCATGCTGGTTTGATGGATCAGGTTTGATATTTGATATTAAAGGTAACCTTTCCATTCCATGGAATTTCCTTTGGAGAGCACTGCAAAATAGTAGTTTAGTCTCCCTAATAATGACAGAGAAATTTTAAAATGTGAAGGAAGGTGACACTGGATTTGCTCCAATCTTGAAAGCCATTCTTTGAAATTCCAGTTTGCTTAAAAAAAAAAAAGGAAAAATAATTGATTTTCTCTTCTGGTTTGCTACAGGACTTTCCAAGCATAGTAGTTGTTGGCCTGGGAAAGAAAGCAGTGGGAGTGAACATACACGAAAACTGGGATGAAGGCAAGGAAAATATACGGGCAGCTGTAGCAGGTTAGCAAAATTAAAACGTTGCTTTTGTGTTCATGTATAACCTCTGGCATTGCTTCCTTAACGAGGGCAAACTGCATTTTAAAGGGTTGTGTCAGTTTGTCAAGCTTAGCAGCTTACATGGCAGATGTATATCTTCTTTGGGGTAAGTCCTGCTGGACAATGAATATTGAGTATAGTGCTGTAAGCAGGGTGGATAAAAGTCAGTGATTTTTTAATTTAAGAGAGATCAGGCCTCTGCAACCATAATAGATACGCACGTAAGAGAATTTCAGCAGGGCACTTTAAATGGCAACTGATGGAACTGCCTGTTCCACGCAAATGTGATGAAAGTGCGAGGCCCTGGTCCCACAAGAGAAGGCATGGCAGCAGAACCCAGCCAAAATGCACGTACCTTTTTGCCAAATCTCATATTTTTTTAGCACAGAGTATCAGGGTTTATTTTTGTGTGCCTAGTTAAAGCATTTGTACTTGCTGTTTGGCTGCATAGACTTAGGTCAGACTGGGTCTGGCATTTTTATCCACCTATCAGGTCCTTCCCAAGGCCCTGGGATAGGCAGATGGGGTTCGATGGTGTTAAAGGTATCGTTGCGGGAAGTATTGTTGTTGTTGTTATTATTATTTAAAATCATAGAATACAAAGAAGAAGGTGGGGGGGAAACCAAGAAAAGTTCTTGAAATTATCCTTTATTTAAAAGTAAGCAAAAAGAAGACGACAACCCACCCACAGGATGCAGCCTTTAGAACTAGGGCTGGCATAGCAGTTGCTTTGCAATAGCCCTCCATAAAAGATAAAAGATACGTTTTTCCATTACTCAGTGAGCTGATAAAGTGGCCTTCTGCAGAATTGACTTTTAACATGGCTAAATAAGGGTGCAAACTGCAAAAGTTGCTTTTTTGGCATATTTATGTACTTTGGCCAGCTGAAGTTGCTTAGTCATCATTTTCAAACATGAGAAAGTTGGGTGAGGCATTTTCTCATTCTTGAATTACTCACAGGCAGTTGCTTTTAGACGACTGAATCTAAGTATCCTATAATTAATCATTTCTACTTCGGAAAGCTTTAATTGCAGACTTGACTGATTTCTGCTCCTTACTGTGAGAGGCTTGTTCGCTAGAAAAAACTTCCCTGGGATCATAACTTTGCCAGTGTATATTTTATGTTTCAGCTGGATGCAGGCAGCTGCGGGACCTAGAAGTCCCTTGTGTGGAAGTGGATCCTTGTGGAGATGCTCAGGCTGCAGCTGAAGGTGCTGCGCTTGGCATCTTTGAATATGATGAACTGAAGGAGAAAAAGAAGCCCAGCCTTGGAATTCAGCTGCATGGCAGGTAACCGAGACATCACCTTTGTGTGATGCTCCTGTTGCGGAAATAATTGGTTTACTATGAAGTGTCAAGAAATAAAAGGCTATTGAATGAAGTCTATACAGAAAATCACCATCAGACCTTGCACTTAAATGAACAAATCATTTCCACGTGCTAACATGGTTTATATTCCAGCGGTGATCAACCAATGATTGGTGTTCTTGATTCAAGACCTGTGGTTTGTGCAGTCTTGATAAGTTTGCTACCCTAAGGAGTCAAAATTGTGTAATTTGCCTTGGTAAAAGATAGCAGAGAACTGAATAATAATAACTGGGGACCAAGACAGGCAAAGTTGCCGGAGTGTCAACTCTTTAGAAGGGAGGGGCCAGTGGATAGCTTTTCCCTTAGCTGAATGACAGAAGGGACCCAGCTCTAAGTCAGGCCAATATTCTCCTTTTTTAAATAGTAATTTTAGTAAAAATTACAATTACAACAATAAAAAATAATACAAACTAAAAAAAATAAAAGAATAAAAAGAAAAAATAGAAGGTCCAGAAAAGAAAGAAAAAATAGAAAAAAATAGAAAAAAGAAAGAAAAATAAGAATACAGTAAAGAAAGGGAAAAGAAATATATAAAGAAATGACTTGTCCTTTCATCACAAGTATAAACAATTTTAGTAACTTATCACCTTCTCTTAAAATACTACAAATGATCTCTTCATCTCCTGTCCCATCTCTTATCTATAAACAAATCCATAAAGCATCGTCATTTCAGTCCTGATGTCAGCAAACATCCATTAAGGGCTACCAGCGATAACAACAAATAATTTCAACCTTGATCAAATAAACCAACTTTATATTCCTTCCTTTTACTTCTAACAATCTTGATCTTTAGTACCTTCAAATAATGTCCTAGAACTTGATTTCTTTTCGTTTTTTTCTTTGCCCCTTCTCACAAATTTGTCAAAACTTTTAACAAGCCTCTTTTTAAAATCCAATATAGGAAAATTATCCAGTCACTCTCTTAGTTTGTTATCTGCATGTCCCTTTTAATTATTAAGAAATCAGCTGGTTTCTTATATGTCCGGTGTAATATCTTTTTCCATGTCATTCTTGTAGCCTGTCATTTTTAAATCCACTTTCAACTCAGTCTCAATCTTGTCAGGTAAAACTTATTCCTCTTCCATAATATCTTTTAAATACAGTCTATCTATACTCTTCTGGGTCCGTTGTTCAAAAATATCCTTCAGTATGTCCAATGTTAAAATATTTTGCTTCGTTCTGTACTTGTAAGTTGAGTTTGAGTGTTCTTCTCTTTTAATTATAATCTTTAGTTCTCTCTAGTGTCCAATTTTTAAAGTCTTACTACGTTTTTTTTTTAAATAATTCAAAACAAAAGCATTTTCCCATGCGAAGGATTCTTATAATTAATTCCAAAATCTTATTTCAAATTTATCTGGACCCTTAGTCC